AGACAAGTTTTTTAATTGTATAGCTTTATTATAGAATTTCTACTTATAATTCATTTCAAAATAATTGAATCGAAAAATAAAAAGCTCAAGAACGATGAATTTTAAAAGATAAAAATAGTTAAGAGAAACATTTTATGAAAATATTTACGTTTTATTGAATGTCTGAAGAAATTAAAACCTTTAATTATTACTGTAAAAAAATTAAAGTAAAAACCTGTTTTTTACGTGTGTTTTTTTTTGTAGGATTTATTTTTATTCTCTGGAATATTTGCTTCATTTCTTGACAATGCTCCAGTTTATATTAGTTTCGCAGCAAGTGCTGCTGCACGATATAATATAACTATTGATCAATCAGACAATAATGGTTTTCTTGCTGTATTCTTTTCTCAATATGAAACCGATGCAATTCAAACAATTCGTGCTATATCAGCTGGATCTGTCTTAATGGGTGGATGTACTTTAATTGGTAATGCACCTAATATGATTATAGTATTGATGGCTACTCGTTATACTTATCGAACACGAATAAAAATGAATCAATCAAAAACTAAAGAGAATATTGAAGATAATTTAATAACATATCATCTTGAAAATATTAGTTTTATGCGATCACTTGTTACAGCTTGTCCTATACTAATTCCTATTTTTGTTTTTGTAGCTTTTTTTATGTTATAAATATAATATTTCTTCTTATAAAAATCTGTTTTTTTAATCAAAGTAATAAGTTTTTTAAGTAATCTTTATATAGATTACAGTGATTTAAACTCTTAGACTTATTCTAAATAGATACTTTATTGAACAATAGACAAGACAATTCTATGAAATGTTTTATTATGAATAACAAAAAATAATTGATATATAAGATTTTTATTATTGATACAAAGAAAAATGAGTATTTTACAAAGTTGTTTTAATAATAATAATAAAAAAAAAACAATAACTGAGAAAAATAATTATATGTCGAATACATTGACAACGATGCAGATTCTGTTGCAATTGTTATTCTGCCTATGAAATCTATTGGTTCTGTATATCGAGTTTATTATTTCCTAGATATTGTCAGTGATCCAGCCCGATAATGAAAATAAATGCTTCAGAAATACTGAATTCATTTTAGTGAGATCTATGATCTGACTGAAATACTTCTTTCTGCACATCATAAAGTTTATCTATATTCAATTTATCATTGTCTGACAATTAAATTGCAATAGGTATGTCAAAAAAAAAAGAATATACAATCATTCATCGTTCTTTGAGAATATTGTCTAAGTGACACTTTTTGTTTTCGCTAAAAAAATCTTACAAGGAGAACCTATCTAGGCGTCAAATCGCTTTTGCAATCGAGACAATATTTATTTGATAAGTAATAGAGGTTGTTACGGGCATTGCCCTCACAGTATGTTTTTCTTTTTCTTTCTTTTTCCCTGGATACATGTGTGAGGACATTTTTGATTTAATAAAAAAATAAAGGAAAAAGTCAACCATCTTTTTCCCCTAATAGAAGTATTTAGAATATTTTGATTTTCCAGACCTTCGTTCTTTTATGTGTAAAAACAAATTTTGTTCATATATGTACATTTTCAGAAAGGAAATAGTAGAAAACTGAAAAATTGTCCAATCAACTAATCTTATTGAGAACTTTATTTTTTGCAAAATTGGAAATCGAAAGTCAATTTCTCAAATGATTCTATTATTCATCAAATGAACATCGTCTCGATCGAAAAGCGATTTGACAGCTGAAGAGATTTTCTCGTTAGATACATGTCGAAATTTTTTTAGTTCATACTTTGTCATTTGTGATCATCATTTCTCAAAATTGTTTTTAACTTAATTCGTGAAGATTAGAAAGTTTCTTAACATTGATATTACGATAGAATCTTGTTTTCTAATTGTTCTTAAAATTTATTGGTATGTTGTTGATCATTATTTGTCAACATGCAATTCTTTACATGAACTTTCAATTTTGTTTATCTACTTAGGATTGAACAAAATTTCTAATAACATCAAATTAAAAATTAAAAAAAAAACAAAGAGATATTTTTAGTTTTATTTTATTAAATATTCAAAATAATCACCATTATTATTTATACAAATTTCCATCTTTTCTAACAGTTTGTTGAAAGTTTTTTTTTAAACTCTTTTTCTTGTAGATTTTTCACTATCTTGGAAACCTCCTAAGCTAATGATTCTTCTTTTGCTTGATTAGTCAAATTACTCTTGATATAATTATTTAGTCAAAAATCACATGGTGCAAGATATAGTAGATGTGACATTATTTCAACTACCTTGTTCTATTACTTATGTACATTATTATAGATGAGTCATTCTACTATGAAAACTTTCGATATTAACGATTTTATAAAATTTTACACACCAGAATCAGAAATTTTGGTTAATGCGATGCAAGCCTTTGGAAAAATGTCAAACTCAGTTATGCTATATCGGCGACTTCTAAATCAAGAAAACTTTTTTTTGTTAGGAAGAGCAATGTTTAAACTAAAAATTTTGTACCAGATATATATTTCCAGAGGGAACGTGATCAGGTGGAAAAGTGCTTGGAACGTTTTTTCAACTTGAAAAATCTGTTTTTCTAAATTATTTTAAATTGCTTACAAGAATAGATCAAATTGAAATAAAAAAAATATAGTACATTAAAAATTCTATCGATAACAACGTCGACAATTTTTTTTTATTACATTTGTCCTTGACTGTTTAGTTCAAAAAGGTTGAAAAATGGAATTTTTATAAAATGTAATCTCTTCTAAGAAAGATCAACCGTCATCTCCAGAAATTATATATGGATTGGATTTTTTTTGTGTTATCCATTCAAAATATTTCAGGTCATAGAAAAACAAAAGGTCAATTTTCATTAGAAAAATCTAAATTAAGATAGCTCAAGGTCTGATCTTTCATAAATGACATGTTTTTTTTTAATTTGCAGTTCATTTGCTCAAAGAAATGTCGATAATTTCCGTCATCTTGTGCTTTGAGATATGTTTTTCGAAACGAACGGAAACTCTTTCTCGTTTTTTCTCTTGTTTATGTTTTTCTAATCATATATTCCAGGATTCTCAAGGAAGCATCATTGCAACTAATTAGTTTATTTCTAGGTTGAAAGGAACATATGAAGCTATAGTGTCCTTTCTTTTTTTTCAAATAAACTTTCTCTTTTTATTATTATATTAAAAAAAAAACACTTCTTATAATCAATGAAGATCTTTCTTTTGAGAATTTTTCGAGATATTGAACTTTTCTCTTTGCATAAAATCTAACCTATTTTAAAGAATAAATCAGAACAATGTGGTGACTTGTATTTTCAAATCAAAAACAAATAATTAAATCTATACAATAAGAGCTCACAGAGA